GAGATACAGAGAGAGTGAGAGAGATATAGAGAGAGAGAGAGAGAGAGAGAGAGAGAGAGAGAGAGAGAGAGAGAGAGAGTGTGTGTCTGTATGTGTGCGCGTGCGTGCGTGAAAATAAATATTACGAGAGAGAGAGAGAGTTTGTGTGTGTGTGTGAGAGAGAGAGAGAGGGTGAGCGGGAAGGCGAGAGAAGTAACTATATTAGAATTCCAAGGAATATGTGCATCCGTGCCTGTGTGTGTGCCGTTTGTGCCGTACGTGCGTTTGACTGTGCGTGTGCACTGCGCATACGTGTGCACCTCTCCGTCGGCATGCTTTCCTCCCTTCGCCCCTCTCCTCTTTCCTTCTTCTTCCCCTCTCACTCCCTTCCCTTCTGTATTTCCCTCCCCCTTCTCGCGGATAGTATCGCCCACGGCATCAGGTGCACGGTGAAAAGTTAGCCAGGCAAATGGCCGGTTTTCAGCCTCAACTTTTTCACCCCCAAAACACAAAATATGATTAAATACGGTTATAATACGCGTTTTTACAGTCACACAAGCACACATACACACACACTAACGGACGCGCACACGCGAGTATGGTCGCACGCACGCGTGCGCGTGTATTTTAGGCGTAAATTCACATTTTGTGCCTTGCGGGTTGAACAAGTTTCGGCTGAAATACGGCCATTTACCTGCAAAAGTTTTTCCATGCTTGACTGGTCGTGGGCGATACCATCCGCGAGAGGGGAGTAAGTGATTACTTTTATTCACTCTTAAAGTTACTGCCTGACACAGCAGATGAAAATTCAGTATAAAGAAGCGGCAATTGTTTATTATATTTATTATTATTATTAAATTTTATTGCATGTAATTCAACTACAAATACATGTACTGAAGTCTAATGAAAAATCGAATGAATGCAATAGTGTTGAGCAGTTAAAATAATAAAATTTCTGAGTGATACAATACATTGTATGAAACATAGTTCTGAGTGATACATGTTATTTCAAAGCTTTACATATTGTTACAGGACTGTGACACGAATCTACGTGAATTACAATATGAAACGACTATTGTGTGCGCCTGTAATCGGCGAGCTATAGCGGCTGTTTAATCTGCTGTCGGCACTCGTGTAAAACAACTGTTTTTACTTTATATATGAATCTAAGGTATATATATGAGGACTCTAAAAAGCTAAAACTACTTGTCACAGATTGTCCTAGAAAAAAAATATCCTTCAAATGTCATTGAAAAAATAATTCACCCTTTTGTGTCTGAGGATTTTTGGAATGGCGCAAATTAGCTTCAACTTGGAAGGCATGAATGGTGAGAACCCTGAAATGCGTGCGTGCGTGCGTGCGTGCGTGCGAGCATTTATAGCATGCGTAGCACTAGTTAATTTATATATACTTCGGTGGGATATGCGTCATGCTTTCCTAATCCTAGCGTCAGTGTAATTCTAGCGTCAGCATGAATAAGCAAATTCAAGCCGAACATTGTGTATTGCCACGTGCAAAGATTTATGACATGAAGATCAGTTTAATCTAGGAATTTCAAGTGGAAGAAATGACCCCATATCGTAGCTTAGGAGATTTTGAAAATTATAAATACAAATTAAATAAAAAACTCGTTCTATTTAATACGACAAAAATATAATAATATTTCATAGTTGATAACAGTAGCTAGGACAAACGAAACGTCCAGTAAAGCACATTAACGTGTGATTATCAATGATCGTCAACGTTCTATTACATATTACATATAGCTTGGCAATGGCTGTGTACGAATAAGAGCAACTACCTGGACCAGTTGTTAACACAGCACTGCAATTTTATAATAAAAATCACGTCTTTCTTCTGTTGTAGCGGTTACAAAAATAGTTCTCCAACTGAATTTGTTCTCTAATATCACGCCAGAGCACAATGACATATAGGCATGACAGGCGCTGTAAACATATGTCGAACTATTTTTTAATATATTGTAACCACAGCCGAGAGTTAAGTGGTTTCAGAGTAAGGAGCGTCGGAAAGGAATTTAGACATCCTAGAAAATATGTTGAATTTTGGCAAATGATACAATTAACGTACAATGCACAGAGAACTGAAAGATCAAATGTAGGGTTGCTATAGGCCGGGAGGCAAACATGAATATAAACTAATCCATTTTCGACCGACAGCACCCAAATTATTTATAAGTACCTTATTGTTCATGCATTGCATGCGGGCATAGACATTCTCTATTCATCTCTATATAGTATTCGTGCACGCCTGATATCACCGGTGTAAAATGCCTGTATCACTGCTGAACATTACTGCTCATAGTCACTAACTCCCTCCTATAAATTTCATTACCCAGACGTTTAACTCAATTATTTTTAATCGATTTCAATAATTGATATGATCTCTTTTTTTTTCATATTTATGTAAAACTTTGCATGCACAAACAACAGCTGAGAGGGTCTATGTCCCCCCAGGGTACTGCCGGAACGTACCCTGGGTACGGTCCGGTATACCGGAACGTACCCTGGTGCTAAATACTACTATCTAATATGCCGGACCGTACCTCGCCTACTCCAATAACGAGTCTAGGGAGTCGCCTACGCCTACTCCCTAACCCTAACTCTAACCATATCAGCTAGATAGTTACCAAGGTACGTTCCGGCAGTACCCTGGGAGACATAGACCCTATGAGCCAAACTACAAGTCGCTCCTAAAAATGACCAAGATTTTTTTAAACAAATCCATTTAAATGAAGCAACGCATGCAGTGACAGTCTAACATTCTACGCGTGAAATAAGGGATCATGATAACAAATCATGATTACAACTAATGCTACGTACACAGAGTTCGATGTAGAAGCTTAAAATAACCCGTCTAATGATAAATCTATCAAATAAAAAATCGATCGGCCATGCAATTTCTCGCACTCAGCTCACTCAGCTATTGATAGACTCCTGATATCAACATTATATATCATCAGCATAATACACACTCATGCGGTGCGTCGGAATCACACGCTCTACACACACATAGGAACGTTGTAGATCTTTATCATTGGATACCAGACTGCACACAGCAGGAGATAACGCAGTGCAATACATGCTCTGTCTGTATTGACACACGGCCCTTCTTCAGAGCCGTAGGCTGAGCTAATTTCCTAGAAGTGGGGGGGGGGCAGTGGCGGATCCAGGATTCAGAGGAGGGGGTGAGAAAGAGGTGGGGGGTCTGGGGGTCCTCCCACAGAAATTGTTTAAAATGTAGATCGCAGGAGATGGTATTTGAGGCACTTTTGAGTACATTTACAGCCTTCATTCGGAATACGACAATTCTCTTTTAGTTTTAGGTGAACAATTTATTTTTTTAATTTTGCTCCAAAATCTAGCTGCCCCCCCCCCCCCGCAAGCTACGGCCCTGTTCATTCACTGTATATATGCTACGTACCATAAACACATGTCCGACCTATATGTGGTTATATATATATATATATATATATATATATATATATTTCATACATACATTCATATTTCATATTTATATATATTATATATATATATATGTTCATGACGCTCCCGTACCTATACTCAGCGCATGCAGGTCATGAATAGTGCATGTTATGAGGGTATATATAGATATCCGTGCTACAAACCTGCACATAGAATGCATCCTATCTTGTGTCAATAATAGGATTTTACTATTACTTACCCCCTAAGAAATTACAGAAGTAATCATAACATGTATAACATGACATATAATCGGAATTATACTTCTACATTCCAAATTCTCGGTGATTGGAAAATGGCGGTCGATACGGGATTTTTAAAATCACAGGACATAACATGGATGGCATAAACGCATATATAACGACCGCATGATTTCGACTACAAATTAAATCCGATTACACACAATCTGATTACACTCAGATATATAATATTTGAGTTTGAAACTGAACTAGGTTCTATTCAAACACAACAGGCGATATCACCACCTGAACGGTGCATACACCCAGCCACCTCTGGGTGAACTGCCAGTGCTCTGCAGTGCATATTACACAACCCACCCCACCCTCTCCCCATGGCTACTAGATTAGCTCCATCCTCACCACCGGTATATATATATATTTATTACGCCAATCCCTCCATCGCTGTATACAATATTAGACCCTAAGCTGCTACCATTGTGCATGCAGCCACGAAATAATCTACATTGAAATTACCTAAGTTCATAATACAACTTTACAACCCTACCCTCTACATCACACTAGATCTATCTATCTATCCATCTATCCATCTATCTATCTATCTATCGATCGATCTCTCTATCTCTCTATCACACTTCTTCTTTGCACACTCCTTCCCTCATTGCCTCATGGCCTCCTTGCCTCATGGTATGCCACACCCAAATGACATTGCTGTGGATGCATACTCACCCACCTACTCTATCCTCTGTATACACTCTACTCTACCCTCTGTATACTCTCTCCAATTCTTCTGTATACACGCTCTGCCCTATGTCACTGTATTCATTGCTCTACTCCCTTTATATCCCCCTACTTTTAATGTTGCCCTACACCTACGTATCCCCTCTATACTCTGCCCTACCCTGATTATGCCGCCCGTCTTTGCCCCTTCTACTTTTGTACCTGTACTCCCCAACCTATACTCTGACCCATCATTCTACATTCTACCCTATCCCGCCTGTACTCTACCCCTCTCCCTCTACACTACTGTATACCTCACTAGCCTAGGCCACTGCCCTAACTCATTGTTTACTGCACCCTACCCCATTGTTTACTGCACTCTATACCATTGTTTACTGCACCCTAACTCATTGTTTACTGCACCCTACCCCATTGTTTACTGCACTCTATACCATTGTTCTATACCATGAATACTCTGCCCTACACCCTGTATATTCTGGCTTACCTCCCTATTACTGATCTCCATTAGTATATCCAGTATCTACCCCCAGTATACCTTGATCAAGTGCAGCAATAAGGACGGCACGTGGGCCATGAATCACCCTCCTGCTGCTATTGCTGCTGCTGCTACTACTGCTGCTACTACTGCTGCTGCTACTTCTATTGCTACTGCTGCTGCTGCTGCTGCTGATGCTGCTATTGCTGCTATTGCTGCTGCTGCTGTTATTGCTACTGCTGCTACTACTGTGGTGTCAGCGTGCTGTTGGCCTTCTTCACAGCAGTAGGGATCTCGTCCGCGGTCTTCGTCACCTTGCCGCCGAACAGCTCCGGACACTCCTCTCCACGGCTGATGCGATCGCAGCGAGCGATGAAGTCGTACGTGACGCGCGGCGACACGACCGAATCTCGCCCGTACTCCGCGTGCGACGTCACAAAGTCGCGCGTGTAGCGCGCGAACGTCTTCAGCCGGCCGGCGGCGCGGCCCTGGATCAGCGCCAGGTACTGGTTGATCGTACACGCCGTGTCGACGTCGATCTCAATGCTCTGCATGTAGCTCTGCATGAGCGGGACGAGACCGGGGAAGGTTCCCTCTTTCCCGTTGACGATCTCGTCGATGCCCATGCGCTCCCACGTGCCGGCGCACTGGGGGCTGTTAGTCGCCGCCTTGCACTCGCGGAGGCAGGTGGCGGCCTCCGGCGGCGAGTTGCGCGTCATGAGGTCCTTCGCGAACCAGAAGCGACCCGTGCGGACGGCGTCGCGTTTCTGCGCCTCCCGCATGTTCTCGTCGACCTTCGAGATCGGAACGACGAAGTTCAGCTGGTAGGAGAGGATGACGCGCGTGAGAAGCACGACGAACACGACGTACGCCGCGTTCTCAAAGTCGGTGAGCTGCACTTCGCACGGACGGAACTCGACGCGCCAACCGATCGGGGAGTTGGGCGGCGGCGGCTTGAAGCGCATCGTCTGCCAGTTCGTCGACTGGATGTTCTCGAAGTGGTCCGTCTCCTGCTCGTCGTCGATGTGGATTTTCTCGCTGAACAGCGCGACGGGGTCGCGGATGAAGAGGTGCGCAAAGTGCTTCGCGAGCGTCTCGTCGAGGCCGGCGTCTCGCAGCGCCTCGTAGCTGGCCGCGTCGTACTCGACGTCGACGTCGTTGCAGCACGCGTGCTGCGGGTGGATGTACATGTCGACCGAGTCGTAGCGAGACTTCGTGATGCGGAACCGCTCCCCGTCCGCGAGCGGCTCGAGCGATCGCTCCCCGCGCGTCCGGTCGTCGACCGACGCGGCGATCACGTCCCACCGGCAGTCTACGTCGCTGAGGTAGCCGCGGTAGACCGGACTCGCCGCGCTCAGCGCGAGCAGGATCGGACAGAGCGGCGTCAGTTGGTCGTACAGCAGTCGACCCTCGGCGACGCAGCACGCCTGGAAGGTCACCTGCAGACAGGAGCAGCCCATGCCGAAGCCCATGCTGTCCATGTAAATGTGTTCGTCGCGTGCCTGCCGCCCGCGTTCCCCGTCGTCGCCGAGCGCCGCAAAGTCCTCGCGGAACGGCGAGCGCGTCTGCTCGTCGCGGAACACGGGAATGTTGATCGCGACCTTCTCGCGCCGCCGGTGCCGGATGTTTCGCGTCAGCGTGCGGAAGCGCGGGTGACCCGGGAAGATCGCCTCGTCGGGATAGAACAGCGAGCGAGACGCCGACTCCTCCGTCTCGGGCCGCGGCTCGGCCGGCGGCTCCGTGAACCCGGGGCATCCGAGGCGTGGGAACGCGGTGAGACTGAGCGCCGTCTCGCCCGCCGAGTCGTCGAGTAGCGCCATCATCTCGGCGCGCCGGTAGCGCATGTTTGCCTCTACGATGTTGAAGTGCGCTAGCAGGCCGCCGTACGGCGTGCCCGGAGTTCCCTCCACCATGTAGTTCGCATACTCAGGCCTCCAGACTGACAGGAGGAACTCGTCCACTGTCTTATTGTTCTCCTTCGTCTGCAGTTCGCGTAGGATCGGTTCGCCCTTCAGCAGCACCTTGGCGGTCTTCGAGGCGTGGTCGAGCTTGATGAGCGTGTATTCGACCTCGTCGCCCCACTTCAGTTCGTCGTGGATTACGTCCTTGAGGCGCCGCCACAGGTTGATGAGCTGCTTAATGCCGTGCTCGCGCACGTACGGCGCCCACTCGCGCGTCTTGTCCCAGTTCAGCGGCGAGCCCTCCGTCAGCAGACCCATGGTTCACGAGCGGGGTGTGTGTGTCAACCTGCCGGAGAAACGATCGCTGCGTTAATACTGAGCTGGTAAAGTAAGAGATGACGATGGAGAGGTCTGGATGATGGGGGGAGGGGTCAGGGTTCATAGTAGTAAGACACATGTTGAAATAAGGACTTATAAGACCCTTTCTGGAGGCCAAAATAAGACGTTTTTACGTGATTTCTGATAGACCACCAACTATTAAAGTACACTAATAATATTTATATACACAATTGCACAGCAGATTTAATTATTCCATATTATATATACAACAATTCTTACTCTAAGTCGAGAACAGTAAGTCGAAAAATAAGGACTATTAAGTACTTTTCTAAAATTTTACCAAAAATAAGTACTAATAAGGGCCCTTATTTTATTTTTGGCAAAATAAGTACTTATAAGACTTTGGAAGACCCGCTACGAACCCTGGGGGTGGGGAGGGTGAGAGCCTGAGAGGTGAGGAGGGTGAGAGCCTGAGAGGTGAGGAGGGGGAGGGGTGGCTAGGGTTAGTAAGAAGTGAGGGGTGGGGAGGGTGAGTAAGAGGTGAGGAGGGGGAGGGGTGGGGAGGGTTAGTAGTAGTAAGAGGTGGGGATCGAGGTGTGGATATCAGTGTAGGTGTGGGGATGGTGAGTGAGAGGTATGGAGGTAAGGGCGTAGTGTAGAGTAAGAGAGAGAGGGTGAGTGAGTTGTGGGGAAGGTAGGTGGGGAGGGTGGGGAGGGTGGGGAGGGTTGGTGAGGTAGGGACGTGTGCATGTCAGTGGAGGGGTGGGGGAGGTAAGTTAATGATTGTGAAGTGCTTAGCAACAAGGCATGGTGATATGGTATGGTGCGATGTGTCGCTATGCGGTTCATGCTCTAAATAGCACAATACGTGCACACATACCTGCGCAATGAGAGCTAACAGTAACACACAGGATTAGAAATTAACTTTTGAACAAGGGAGTCAAATGGACTCTCTGCCTGCAAGAAGAGGGAAACCGCAGCAAAATGAGGGAGTCCGCGGTCTGAAATTCAAAACTGAAGCATAACAATAATGACACATGCATGTATGCTTATTTTGAAGATTCATGCGATGCACGTCTACCAAATTTTCTTTGGATATTTGCTGAAAAAATATGGTAATTCCGTGAGGCCGTGCTCTGGAATGAACTAGTTAGTATAGCAGAATTTTCAGGGAGTCACACGGACTCCTGCATCTGTCAAATCAGGGAGTCCGACAGTAAATCAGGGAGTATTTGACTCCGGACTCCCGTTAATTTCGCACCCTGAACACACGCATGTGATACATGTAAGTGAATGTAACTGCACCTGCCTAGGATACACAATGTTTTTGCTTTAAAATGTTTAGCAAAATTTGTAATATTTTAGTATTTGACGAAGAAAAGAGCAGTAACATAACAGGAAAGCAATGCATACACACTACCTGGCTACCATAAACGAATGTACCCTCGGGAGGAATACATGTACGTCTATGATTTAATGATACAACCAAGTACGGTTACTATATTAGCTGAGCACACGGCAAATTACCTGAAAATCATACTCAGAATTGCAGATATATACTATAGGTCAATACACGTATACAAAATAGATGTAGATATTTATGTGCTAATTTAGTGAGAACAAATTTTACAGATTGCATGAGAAATTTCTTATGTAATATGCCACCAAAATGTCTAAATTTCTAAAACCGCAGGTATCTATACAGTAGCGTAGTAGTAGTACTGCTCATACTCATAGGGTCTATGTCCCCAGGGTACTATCGGAGGGTACCCTGGGTACGGTTCGATATATCGGAACGTACCCTGGTAACTATTTGATATGGTTAGGGTTCGGAACTTCGGGTTAGGGTTAGGGAGTAGGCGTAGGCGACTCCCTAGACTCGTTAGTGGAGTAGGAAAGGTACGGTCCGGCAGATTAGATAGTACCAGGGTACGTTCCGATATATCGGACCGTACACAGGGTACCCTCTGATAGTACCCTGGGGGACATAGACCCTCTCAGCAGTAGTACTAGCATTTCCATAATAATCAGCAGAACTTACCTTATTTTCAGTGATCCTATATGAAATGCTACTATCCGAGGTTTTATTTTACATCTACTTATAGTTTCACACTAGAGAGAGAGCTTTGATGGCCAATGTAACTGCACACAAATATTTATACTGATTGCTGGCCGTGTGCAATAGTGCAAGACATGTGACAGCTTTTTAGAGAAATTCCCGCTGAGTCATAATGACTTGCACTTTATTTTTACGCAAGGCCACTCCCCGCACATGTTCAGGCAGAAATCTGGCAGCTTGTAATCTGTTAAGAAATTCTATTTATGATTTGCTCACGTAGGTGTACTCAATTTGTACATATTATAACAAGCTTTTGAACCTCAGCCAATTCATCTATCTCAATATTGGCATGCACAAGCTAGTCAAGCAACCAGGGAGGGAATGAATGAGGCCACCCTTAAACAAGTGCCGC